CAGTGTGAATACACGTAACACTACTAAACTATACACTTAAAAATGGTTAAGGGGGTAAGTTTTATGTGTCTTTTACCACAATTTAAAATTTTTTAAAGGAATTAATGTATTATGTGACTTCTTGTGCAAATATAGGAATTTCTGGAGAGTCTATTAGCAGTACTTGAGTTTTTTTAATCATATACCTGTCTTGCTATTTTAATGTTTTTATCATTTATAAGCTGTCAATTTTTAAAAATTTAAAATTGTTTGATAAATTATGATGAACTTGCTAAACATCAGGAACAGCTCTTTGGTTGCTACATGACCCGGTGCCAGAAAAGTAAAAGAAAAACTAAAAGCTTTGATCTCTAGCTTCTAGGAACAGTTTTCTTGCTTTGTCTTTATAATTTCCTAGGAGGACACAAATATGTAGTGGCAAAGAATGATCAGTGAGGACACAAAGCCGAGTACGTTTTTCCTAAGGGCAGAGGGGAAACCAGTTAAAGCAGGTACAGTAAATTCTGTCCAATTTCAGAGATGTTAAAACATGAAGAAAAGAAGGCCGGGCACAGTGGCTCATGCTTGTAATCTTAGCACTCTGGGAGGCCGAGGCTGGAGGATCACTTGAGGTCAGGAGTTCAAGACCAGCCTGGAGCAAGAGCGAGACCCCGTCTCTACTAAAAACAGAAAAAATTAACTGGGGCATGATGGCACATGCCTGTAGTCCCAGCTACTCGGGAGGCTGAGGCAGGAGGATCACTTGAGCCCAGGAGTTTGAGTTTGCTGTGAGCTAGGCTGACACCATGGCACTCTAGCCCAGGCAACAGAGCAAGACTATGTCTTAAAAAAAAAATTTGAAAAAAAGATAGCCTAGGGTGTGTTTGGATGACTGTGCAGACCAATCCGGCGAGGGTCCTAGAGAAGAGTGCCGGGGATGGTTGAGGCCATATTGTGGCAGGGCTTAAATGACCAACTGGGATGTTTAGATTTTGTTCTGATGATATTGTGGAGCTGAGGAACGTTTTGAGCAGGAGAGTGCCAGGTGGAAAAGTGTATGTAGGAAAATGAACCAGGCTCGTTAGATTGAGTGTCAGATTGGGGAGGAAAGGCAGGAAACAAGCCAGGACACAATCCAGGGGTAGGGGGATGAGGTTCAGACTCCACGATGGGAATGGAAAATTGAGTTGATTCTAGGAACTTCTAAAGAAAGAATGAACAGATAATTATACCTGAAGGGTGAGGAAGGGGGAAGAGTCAACAGTGACTATGGTTTCAGACCAGGACAATTATACCTAGGAGAGAATTATACTTCAAGCAGAGACAGGGAACTCTTGAAGGGAAGCTAAATTTTGCAAGAAAGGTCATGAACTCCTTTTTCATCCGCTGAGTTGGAAGCAACAATGAGCCATTCAAGCAGACATGACTGATATCTCATAGAAAAAACTCCAGCAGAATTCAGAAGAGAGTTGTAAAAGCATGCACAGGGGGTGTTAGATGCATCCACACCTATGATTCAAGAAGATCCAATATAAAGCAATTTTAGACAGATTGATCAAAATCAATCCTGAGAACTCTACTTTCTTAGGACAGTCACAAGTTTTCTAAAGAAGGCATCATGAGATTTAGGCATGGGTTTTTCAATCATATTTTTCATGTATTCAGAAATATTCTACAGGTCTTTTTTTTTTTTTACGTCTGAAATTGATCTACATCATACAATTGATGATTGATGTCTTATATTGAATAAAATGTGGTAGTTGGGGGGATTTAAGGAATTCTCCAAAGAGAGGCAAATGAAATGGAGGTTTCCATCTGATCAAAGAAGACTACCAAATGCCCAGGGACCTCTGAGCATGGACACAATTATTTCCAAGAAAGAAGATGAGCCATAGCTCTTGTCTGACAAGTATGATGGAGAGTGGGTTTGCTTGGAAGGGCATTCCCAGGAGGAGGTAGCATATACATTTTGGGCTGGCTTTGATCTCTAGCTTCTAGGAACAGTTTTCTTGCTTTGTCTTTATAATTTCAAACATTGTTCCCCTTGGGGGAAACTAAGACAGTTTAATAGGCAAATTTCACCAGGTTTGGGCTTTTTTCTGTTAATACAATAAAGGATTTCAGAATATGCCACTGTGGCATAAAGGTTATTTTAAGCTGAAGGCATTTGAGAATTAACAGATGCAGGATGAGTTGTTTTGTTTTGTTTTGTTTTTCTGAACTCTCTTGTCTTCCTAAAAGCAGAGCCTCCCAAAAGAATTCAACTACCATAAATTCCCTCCCAGCAGTTTCAAAACCAGGGAAGATTGACTCCTATCACCAAAGACAAGATGTCAGCACAAGGATAATAAATCACCTAAATAGACATGTCACAAAACTATCATATCTCCATCTATTCTCCTAAAAACCTACTTATCTTTTCTAAAATTTATTTCCCATAAATGCCCTTTCTCCTACTCCCTTACCCTTATTCAGACAGTATGTGAGCATCAAATTGTAACTGCCTCTTTGAGTCACACTTTTCTGTGAACACTGACTACTTCTGTGAATTAAAATGTCTTTTCTCTTGCTAATCTGTTAGTTTAATTTGCAATCCCCCAAGGACTGAATATAAGAAGGCAAAAGAAAAGTTTTTCCTCCCTGACAACAGGAAAAATTATTTTAGTAAAGATGAATCGCACAGAGGAAGGGGGAAATGGGTGAGGCCCAAATAAACAACAAAAATGTCCACTTGCACCGAGAGACACGTTTTTCCTAAAGGACTGAAATATTTTGCTGAAGGAAAGTCCCCAAAATGAAAGCAACTGTATCTTCGACATACTGAGCATAAGGAATGGAGACTGTGCAGCTGAGGAAACGGGTCCCAGAATTCAGAGCTTGAGACTGGGTTTGTTCACACACCCCTGCAAGTGGAGAAAGTAACTGAAGGACTGCGGCAGAACGGGCGCTGAGCAGGCACGAGGCAGGCAGGTGTTTGTTTTACTGCATTCTTCTCCAAGGCCCTCTACAGTTCCTATCCCTTTGGGTGCTTATGATTTGAGACAAACCCACTTAGGGGGTGAACCAAAGGAAGCAAATCACAGGAGTCCACTCGAGTTGGCCCAGGCCACGCCCGAACACCCCACAGCAACCTGAACTTCCTGCCTTTGTTCCTGCTCCCTCTTCTCCCCAGCGCACGCATGCTTGCTTGTTGCAATGAACTCTCACACATCCATTAATTCCTGTTCTCTTTGTCATCTGAAAAAGTCCTCCTGACATGCAGTGTGTCAAAATTGTACTCCTTATCCATCTTCTGACTTCTCACTCACGCTCCCTCCTGGTTTCTGTTCACAAATTTCACCGCAGCAAAGACAGCTCTGTCTCCGGATTCCACACCTCAGCACAGGCATGTACCATTCCTCAAGCTGAACCATCCTTCTGCCTTTCAGCACCTTCATCTGAGTTTCCTTCCTTTTCTCTTTCAAACTTCCCAGTTTGCACCAACTGGGTGCATTTTATTCCCATCTGGTCCCAACCTTTCCTTCTTTAATAGAGATCTAGTATTCACAGCCATCTCTAGTCAGATGTGCAGTCTTTCAATATGCACAGAACAAGCATTTTGTGTGGTTCCTCTGGTTTGTGTTTGGCTGGCTCACAAAGTTGGTGTGGCCAGATTCATGTCTGCACCACCATCAGTGCTCTGCTGTGGCCACAGCTCAGAGAGGTTTGCTCTCTTCACTCTTCTCCAGCCCATGAGGGCCTCCCATCTCCCCCCAATTCAAACTTCAGCTCTCCACTTTCCCTCACTACATCTGTCCTCAGGATATCTCCGTACCCTCACAGCACTTAACACACCACTCAACAAACAGCACATGTTTGCATCTCATCAAACATGACACTGTGTCCATATTTATGTTTCTATATATTTATGTATTTGTTTCCCCTGCCAGATTCCTTGAGTCTGGTTAGCTTCCACCTAGGCACAAGGCTTGGGATCTGGAGATGAGGGGATGGTGAGAGGCTCTGAATCCCGAACCTGACACAGTAGGTGTCCACCACTAGGTGGTGGTGGGAATCAAGCATTCCTTAGGCTCTCTGTGCTTCAGCTTCCTTATCTTTTCAACAGCGATGTCCAGTCGGCTTTGCTTGCAAAAACATAGATTACAGCCCTGGGCTATCAATAGAGGAACCCCTGTAATAGGAGTGTGATCTCTGTTAATTCATTTCTGTGGACCTCATTACTCCTATATATAAAAAGAGGAGGTTAAACTAACTTTAAGTGTAGTCCCCAGGGTTCCTGGGATCCTTTTCAGTGATAAAAGTGTCCAAACTATTTGCATAACAGTATTCAGAGCTATTTCACTTTTCACTCTCATTCTCTTGTCAGTGTACACTAGAGTTTTCCAGAAACTACAGTATATGTAATGTCACTCCTCTAATGACTCTAAGGGGTTTATTACTGTTATTTTTAAATGAGTACATTTTCAATTTTTTGCTTAATTTCTTAAAAAGGAAACATCGATCTATCTATATCTCATTTATCTCCTACATAAACGAACGGTCTTTAAGGTCCTAATAATTTATAAGTGTAAAGGAGTCCTGAGACCAAATAGTTTGAGAAGCACTGAACCGGATTTCTAGATCTTCAAGGGCATTTATTTACTCACAACAAATAATTGCACCTCCTAGGCCAGGCATTTTTTTAGATACCAAGGATAAGGTGGTGATATCAACATGGTCCCTGCTCTGATAGTTTTACATTTTGGGAGGAAAGAGACAAATGAATAAATTAACGAGATAATTTTTGAGAGTGGCAAGTTTAATAAAATAAAGGCATAAAGCAGGACACGTGTGCACACTCTGTACGCCTGCTCAGACGTGAGTAACACTCTACTCTTCAGCGGCCACATTTCAGCCCAGTGGCCCCAAAGCCCCAAGCCCTGCCGGCTGCCCCAGTGCGGGGACTCCGGGTCTCAGTCCCCGCCCCGCCGGCGCTGGCGTAGGGTGACGTCACTTGACCGCGCCAGCCAATCGCGGGCGCTCCGGGTCTAGGCACGGCTGTGGCACGCGGCCTGCGGGCGGCGCTGTGGCCCGTCGGGCGGCCCCACACAGCCGCCATAGCCACCCGCCTCCCCTGACCCAACGTCTCCGCCGCTGGCCCCGCGCCGCCGCCATGGCCGACGTGGAAGACGGCGAGGAGCCCTGCACCCTGGCCTCTCACTCCGGGAGCGCAGGCTCTAAGTCGGGGGGCGACAAAATGTTCTCTCTCAAGAAGTGGAACGCGGTGGCCATGTGGAGCTGGGACGTGGAGTGCGATACGTGCGCCATCTGCAGGGTCCAGGTGATGGGTAAGCGTTGCACGCGAGGCCGGGGACCGACCTGCGGCCTCCGCGGGGCTGGCTCCTGGGGCGTGAGGGACGGGCGGGCGCGCCCGAAACCTCGGAGGGCCCCTGCCTGGGGGAGTGGGCGGGGGTCGCCCTGCCTGGGTGTGGGGCGACGTGGGGCCACGCCGGTGCTACGGTAGTCTGAGGGCTGCGGCCGCCGCCTGGGCCGGGGGTAGTTCAGCTGGCGCCTAGCGCTTCGTAGCTGGTGTTCTAGGAATAGAAACGGGCAATAAACGGAGGAAATAAGATAATTTCTGATATTGATGGGTGTGACCAAGAGAATAAAACTGGGTGATTTGATAGAAGTTGGGGGGAGCCACTTCGGGTTTTGTAGCCAGCCCACTCTAAAAGCATACCGTAGAGGGGTCAGGGTAAAGGCCGTCATTCAGCAGTGCACTTTAATGGTTTTGGCCAAAACGCCACAGTGATGCGCGGGAGTCATCTTCCACAAAAAATGACACCCTCAGGTCTGTGCGAGAGGGATGGGAATAGAAGGGTTCACCGCCGTTGCATTTCCGTATGAGCTACTGCTGCTGTTCGGCTGGCTTTTAAATCTGGATTGATCTGAGACGGGTCAAATGGCACTAGCTTGGCTTGAAGGGTATACAGTGTGGTTCAAGAATATTTAAGTTTCATGGGAATTGAATAACGTAAGCCCTGTATTCAGAAACAACACTTCATCTCCATTTTGCCCCCCTCCCCATCATAGGAGGACATTTCTGGAGAAGATACTGCCTTGCTCTGAGTCATGTGTTTGTGGTGAACCCTCTTACAAATATGTCTTCTTTTTATAATCTTTTGAATTAAAACATAGGACCGAGTGAAACATTTCAGAACAGTTTATTTTCGTTATGTTTTATATGGTTTTGTTTTAAGATCTCAGACCACTTTGAAAAACAGGTGTTATGTAAATGCAAATTATGTTTTTTAATAGGACATTTTAAATTGTATTGAGAGCATCTTAAATTGAGTTGTTCCTTGAAGGAAATTGAAGAAAACTGAGCTTTCTGTAGTTTGAAAACTTTGTGACTTGTCCTGAAAAATGAGAGAACTGGAAAACATAAAAATAATTGCTTCTGGCCGGACACGGAGGCTCACGCCTGTAATCCTAGCACTCTGGGAGGCCGAGCCCGGTGGATCGCTCAAGGTCAGGAGTTCGAGACCAGCCTGAGCAAGAGCGAGACCCTGTCTCTACTAAAAATAGAAAGAAATTATTTGGACAACTAAAAATCTATATAGAAAAAATTAGCCGGGCATGGTGGCTCATGTCTGTAGTCCCAGCTACTCGGGAGGCTGAGGCAGTGGGATTGCTCGAGCCCAGGAGTTTGAGGTTGCTGTGAGCTAGGCTGACGCCACGGCACTCTGCTCTGGCAACAGAGTGAGACTCTGTCTCAAAAAAAAAAAAAAAAGAAAACGTAGATCTGCAGTTACCTCACTGTTCAATTATTGAGTGGTAAATGACAGAATTATTTTGTAGTTCTGGTCAGTTGATGTTGTAATTTAACTATGTTTTAGGTGTGATGTTGAGGAGGAAAAGTTTGCCAGTGTAGCATTGGATCAAAAGTTTATTTTATCACACAATGTTTTAATAAATGGTTTATTCTCTTTACCTTATTTGAATTGTCATTATTATAATTTTTATGGTCAACCTTAAACTTAACGTTCTTAAATGAATTTGTCAAGTAAATGCTTTCATTTAATTTGAAAAAATCCATATACTCTTTCATTTGGCAATAATAAAATTGAAGGTTTATTATGTGGAAACACAGAA